AAAAAAATGTAGCAAATATAAAATTTAGAATTATAAACGTGGCTCACATTTGTGGCTCACCTTATATTGCTATTGGACAAAACTGATATAGATTTTTTTCAAACTCCCTTTTTTACTGGAATGTTCTTCCCCCTTCATTAGTGGCCGGGTCCCCTGATCTTAGAACCAGTTGGTTTACTTCTATAGATAAGCATTCTCCCTTCTTCGGGAGGTGGAAATGGACAGCAGTGTGGCTCTGTAAATTGTCAAGGGGAACCGTGGGGACCTCACCACTTCTAAAAAGACTTTAAATTCGTCTTTGCATTTTCACTACTTTCATCTGATTGTCATCCTCTCATTCTAGTGAAATATCCTCCTCATTGTTAGTCAGCTTCCACTGTGCTCTCCTTTGATCTGTTCCCTTCACATCAGATATTTCATCATTTTTATCTGAACTCCAGATCTACAAAAGTCTTAACCAAATTTAAGAGGACATTTTTATCTATCTTGTTCATGTTTGTTTTGTCAAGACACAGTACCTGGCACATAATGAGTACTGATTCCTGAGACCAACAATATAAGTAGAGAATAAAGGGCAAAAGCCAATTAGTGAAAAGGAGAAGATGTAAACACTTTTCAAACATTGAGGTCTATAACTCTGAGAAACTCAGTGCTGTATTTCCTAGCACCAAAGCAAATATAAAAACACCATGTTTGCAGGTCTTTTATTTAACAGAAGTAAGGATATATCTTCATCATAAACAAACCCATTTATTTTTCTGGGTTTTATAGTCTTAAAGGAATTTGCTTTTCATAAAAAGTTGGTAAATAATGGATAGTACTCTATATAGCAATTTTTTTTAGTTGCAAAGATATTCACCACATGCATGTTTTTTTGTGATGGTTCTCAGGGAACAGATGTAAAAATTTAAGTGTCACTCCATAAAGACTAAATATAGGGGACTAAACTGGGGACAGAAATGTATTATTCTGGTTATGCTACCAGTTTAGAAATGAAAGCAAAAGCAAATCAGCTCTCTCATAATGTAAGGGGGCAATTCCATGCCTTCAGATGGTCCAAATAGTAGAGAACCAAAAGCTGCCTACATTAGAGTAACATTGAAGACAAAAACAAAAGCTCATAACTCTTCAATATACCTGTCTATGGACAATTTCCTTATCGTGGATTGGCAGGACAAAGCAGCTGCCCACTGTGTCCCTCTGTCGGTAGCTGCCATTGCAGTGCATGCTGAGGGTGATATATTTTAGGAAAGACCAGAGCTGGAGGGCCAATGGAAATGACATGTGTCAGAAGGAT